GCAATAATTTTAAAGATAACTTCAATTGTTTGAAAATAATATAATTCTAATCTATAGTAAATAATTTACACATAATTGAGCCTGCATAATTGGGAGAATAAATTTTCTTTTCTCTTCTTTTTTAACTTGAGAATATGTTTTTTAGAAGAAATTAAACTGAAATTTCATTAAGAGAAAACTGTATACAGATATGGGATCCAGATCAATATATTTCTGTATTTTTATATAGGAAGCCTAATAATAAATCATTTATATAAATAATGAAGAAACACGATCTTGATTTGAAATATCTGATTGAGTTGAGAGATCATAATATTTGTACCATTAGCAACCGCTTGCTCCATTTAGTGGCTATTCATGGTCATTGTTCGACTCTATAGTCTTTCTACAAGTTCAATATGACTACCTTCAAATTTTTTTCTGAAGATCTGCACTTTGTTCTATATAAGTAACCAAATAACAAAATATATTAGACAAAATCACCATAATGATGACAATAATAATTCAAAATTAGATCTGAAAATAAAATCTCAAGATATGGGCAACGATAAACCCAATAATTAGGCTATAATAATTCAGATATGAAGGTTATTTAAAATAAAAAAAAAAAAAGAGACAACTACCGATGAGAGCTCATCTGTGGATGTTGTCTCGCCGGTGACCGCCGTAAAAGAAGAAAATAGAACTTTTAGATTTTAGATCCAATGAGAATATTTTTTTTATAATATTGAAAAATACTGTACTTGAGAACATTTCTAGTTATGTTTCTTTCTTTTCTTGTTACCCAAGACTTTATGTACGGAATTGGAACGTATCATGAATCGATTTTGGTGGGGAAGTGGGCGGAATTATTCTCAGGGCATTCATTGGCTAGCTTGGAACAGAATGGCTATCCCGAAGGTGTTTGGAGGGCTAGGATTTCGGAAAATTCATGAATTTAATGTAGCTCTTCTAGGTAAACAGGGCTGGAAACTCATGGTAAGCCCAGATTCATTGGCTGCACGTGTTTTGAAAGCAAAGTATTTTCCGCATTGTAGCTTCCTGGAAGCTGATCTCGGCTCCAATCCGAGCTATGTTTGGCGCAGCATTTGGGAGTTATTTTTCCGCATTGTAGCTTCCTGGAAGCTGATCTCGGCTCCAATTCCGAGCTATGTTTTGGCGCAGGCAATTTTGGGGTCATTGGCTGCACGTGTTTTGAAAGCAAAGTATTTTCCGCATTGTAGCTTCCTGGAAGCTGATCTCGGCTCCAATCCGAGCTATGTTTGGCGCAGCATTTGGGGATCTAAGAGTTTGATTGAAAAGGGATTATATTTGCGGGTTGGTAGTGGTTCTAACATATCTATTTGGGATTCTCCTTGGCTGTGTGACGACGAGTGTTCTTTTATCTCTACTCCTAAACCACACGATAGTAATGCTTTCCTGGTTTCGGATCTTATTGTGCAACGAAGATGGGATGTCGAGCGGATTCATCGATTATTCAATGAAAGAGATGTTGCTTGTATCCTCTTTATTCATTTAAGTAATCACATGGGAGATGACCGGGTTTGCTGGAAATTTGACACAAAAGGTACATACACAGTCAAGAGTGCTTACAGGTTACTTCTGCATAATCCTCTTGCGTCCCAATTTATGCCTCCTAACAGTTGGACTCAATTGTGGAAGATGAAGATTCCACCCAAAGTTACTAATTTCATTTGGCGTGCAGTATGTGATGTTCTCCCTTGTAGGAGGAATTTATGTTCTCGAAAGGTGGACCTTCAAGATATTTGCCCTCTATGTCTTGGACATTCTGAAACTAATCTTCATGTTTATATCAATTGCCCTTTTTCAAGACAAGTTTGGACTCTTTCCCATATTGGGTTTCGGTGGTCTTCGGCTTTGTCTTTTGGGGAGTGGTTTCAGCAAGCCTCAACATCCTTGACATTGGAGAATTTGAGTTATGTTTCTATGGTGTGTTGGGCATTATGGGTCACCAGAAATGATACGGTCTGGCGTCAAAAAAGCAGGAATCCAAGGGCGGTTATTTTACTAGCTACGGGAGTTTGGCATGCATGGAAGGAAGCTAAGCTTCATGATTTGGGTGCTCCTTCTCCAGTATTCTCTAATCATACATGGAGTCCACCTCCGTTCAACTGGTTAAAGGTGAACACGGATGCTTCAACTGGAGTGGCTTCTGGTTATGTGGGTATTGGCACAATAGTTAGGAATTTAGCCTCTGAGTTTATTGTTGGCAAAGCATGGAGATTTCCGGGCTATTTCAATGCTAAAGTGGCTGAGGCCATAGCCGTGAGAGAAGCTTTAAGCTGGATCAAGGATCACGGATGGAATTATATTTTGTTGGAAACCAATTCTCAGTGAGTTGCAAATGCCATCAACAATGATAATACGAATGACTCGTCTGCTTTTGGTTTGATAATTTAGGACTGTAAATCTCTTTTGTCTGAGATATCAGTCGCAAAATGTAATTTTGTTTATAGGTCTGCGAATGTGGCTGCACATACGTTAGCAATTGGAACACATTCCGAAGCAGGCTTGGGGCTGCACATACATTAGCAGTTGGCACACATTCCGAAGCAGGCTTGGGGGATTGGAATTCTGTACCACCTCCTGCTCTACTTGATTTTTTGATTTCGTAATAAAGTTTCTCATTTTAACTTCAAAAAAAAAAAAAAGTAACGGAACCAGTGGTCAAACCCGTCGGCTAGACTAACTAAAGTCAAATCCAAAAACAATGACAGCTAAAACTGTATAAGTAATTAAATATTAACCAGTCATATACATCACATTGTGCGGTTATTAATTTTTTATTAATTTCTTTTTGAACCTGAACCACAGCACAGTGGTTCTGCATGGGACTATTATGGAAACGACACTCTCAGTTCAATTTTCTCTATTCACAATGTTAGGATTTAAACTCTAGGTGCTGCTTAAATGATTTATTACCTCACTTCACTGGACCAACTGGTAGTTTATAATTTTGTTATTAATTGTTGAAAAATTAAAAAAAATTATTACTTTAAAAGAATACTAATAGTGTTATTAATTGTGTTATTAATTCTCTTAATTATTGAAAAATTTTAAATAACATATCACTAATATCACTAATGATATTTAAAAAGTCAGATTACAAAATAATCAAAAAAATATTAAAAAATAACATAATGCTGCCTCAGCAAAAATGTTGATATAGGTGTGGAAATTGAAAATGAAATAGTCACATCAACAACTTCAGGAATATCAAAGAGTAAAACTGTTCCTTTGCTTGAAATGCAAAGGAATTTCTTCTGGACAATAGTTTTCTACGGATGGATTTTTGGGCATGCAACTGATTGCTAGATTGTTTCAATTTTGAGGTTTCTAGCATTTATGTTGTTAGACTTTTTTTTTTACTATAGGATTAGAATTGAAGTTAGAGATAATTTATAAGCATGAGTATGTTTTATTAAAAAAGAAAAAAAAAGAAAAGTAACATTCTTGTGAATTTAGCAATCTTGTGAATTTAGCATCTCCATTTTTTAAAACTCTAGTACTTTTAAACAATTGTATTTCTAATCCCATTTCTTAACATGTTTGTTCTACTTGTAATTGCCAAATGTTGAATGTTAAACCCTACATATGTTAGCAGTGGTTTATCAATATGTATCTACACACCCATACATATATATTAAAAAGTAATATGTTTTGTCCTTTTAATATGCCCTGTGTATATCCAAATAAGCAAAATTCTAATATCAGTTGTCGTATGAACTATATATCCTATCTTTCACTAAACAATCAGATATATGATTGATTGTTGTATCCCCTGAAACAAAAGGCCGCAATACAATTTGTCTGTCCAGAATTTCTATCTAAAATTCCATAATTCATCCCAACTAATACCCCGAAACAAAAACTGCTAAAATTTTTAAAAAGTGTCGTCAGCTCAAAAAGTAATCACTACGATGATAGTCTTGGCTTGCAAAAGGAAGCAAACTGAGTTGACTTAAAGTAACTTTTGTATGCTGCTGAGTTTGTGATTCAGGAATAGTTGTCTTATCATTCCTCTTTCTAGAAGCTTTTAATTTCTGCATGGCAGCTATCTGAGTTGCAGTTCTACCACTAACATATTGCACATGTACTTTCAGGTATCTGTTTAATAAAAACAATATGTAAACAACCATTTTCAAACATTATGATCAATCAGTAGTCATCTAAGCTTTAATAACAATGCATAATTTTATAATAAAAATAAATAATAATGCATAATGGTGGTATGACCTCCATTTAATGCTTTGTTATTTCCCTGAATTTCCATGTGATGAATGCTTTCTTGACAAATATTCCATCTCCTTCTTGCCAAGTAAGCTGCCACATAATAAAAATTGGACTCACATTTGCAGAATTATTTTTTCAATTTGTCACGTCATCTAGAGACACGAAATTGCAAAATGTTACAAATTAAGCCATTTAATTGTTGCCGATTTCCGTTGAGACACCCATTGACATGAGGCATTATGTGCGAGACTCTCATTTTCTTGGAAACTTAACCCCTTGTTTGAAATAAATGAATTCCATAAAATTTTGTAGAATTGATTTACAAATTTAAATTTTTGTGTTTTGTGTGAAAAGAAAAAGGAAGAATTCAATTGTAAGGATTTGAATATAATTAAACCAGATTCTAAAAAAAAAAGCCACCTATAGACGCTTTACGCCCAATCATTCCTGAAGGAGTTGGACAGAGAAAGCAATAAGTTTTATTTTTTCTTCAGCAAAAATCCTCTAAAAAAAAGTTAAAATATTAAAATTAAGAAATCACTGGAGCAACCATTGAACCTCAAGAGAGATATAAATAATAAAATAAAAACACACTAAAGAAAGAGAAATGGTTACTGAATCTACCAATAATTGCCTTCAATCTTGCCGAGCACTGAAAAATCTTAATTTTGTTTTAAAGATTAGGAACATAAATATATTGTTGAAACTATTGTGAGGGTGTTTTAGTTTGAATGGAATAATAAATATAACTTAAAACTATTCTAATCACTGCAATTTCATGTTTAAAAAATTACATTTATATATATATATATATATAAATGTTAAAAAAATAAGTTGGAGTGCTTTACAAACTTCCAATGCTCATTTTCTACTTTTTCATTTTCTTTTTCTTTTTTGTTAGACATGTTGATCTGTTCGACTCCTTCAGGGCCTAATTCTTCATCACCTACATCAAAACACGCAAAGGGTCGAAGACAATCAACTCTATATCTTGCACGAAAATTTAGACTCCCAGCAATTTTGTCTAATTCTTCTTCTTTCTGTTGTCCAATAAAACGACATCGACAAAATAAATTCTCTTCAGAATATAGTAGACGTACACCGCAATTCATCACTTTGCAACCGTGTAAAGGATTGCCATCCATATCTTCAGGGTAGAATTCAACTACTAACTCTCTATATTTACTGAAATGATCATCTTTTGTAGCGTCCACACATGGATCATACCCGAAGAACATAGGATATTGTCTCCCAAACTCTTTGTCATGATAAGTACAGAGAGTTCTTTCACCGTACCAACCACCAAAATAGGAATGGAGATTTCTGCACTCTCCATCCTCATTTTTTAAACGATATCGACATCTAACCTGGAAACCATTGTTACCCATATAGTTATTGAATTTAATAACAACACACAGATTGAATCCCATGAACTGGATGTTAGCCCACTGTGAAGGTAGCCGCATTCTCGTAGAAAATCCTTCATTTTGATGGCCAAACCACCTCGGAATTCTATATCCATGAATGCAAAAACTAGATTCCCCTGCTAGAACCGATGGCATCTGCAACATGAAGATCACAGCTATTAATTACAGGGAAATTGTCGGTTAAAAAAAATCAAAAGATCAAACGGAAAGAGAGACCTGATGACGCAGTTTTTTCCCATAGTGCCAAAATTTTGTGAGGGCGTGGTTCATGATGTTGTGCATTGCAGTGAAGGACAAATTGCAACAGTCAGTGAAAAAGAATTCAAAAATATTTCCCACTAATCCATTTGAATATAAAGGTACTCTAGACAGTGAAATGCAATTATGTGCGTCTAATTTTGTCAGCTGCGGTGGAAGTGCTGGTAATGATTTTAAATTCTGGCAACTTCTTAAACCAAGGTATTGAAGCTGAAAGAGCTTATGGATACTTCCAGGTAGGTGTCTGAAACTATTTCCACTTAGATCTAGTGCTTCAAGTGAGAATAAGTAACCGATGCTATAAGGCACGCCCAATAAACTGCAATTAGTAAGATATAGCTTCCGTAAATATAGACTATTTGCTTCTCTGTCAGGCACGTTCATAACACCCAAGATCACTGGTGGCAATATGGAAAGATTTCTGCAGTTTCTCACTTCCAAGCTTGAAAGCCCCTTCAAATTTTCAATAGGTGAGGGGAGACTTGTAATGGCTGTTCCGTCTAAATAAAGATACCTCAATGATCCCATAACCTCTACAACTGCAGGAAAAGTTTGAAACATGGAGCAACCTGACAGATTAAGCCTTTGCAAGGATTTCAGCTTACAAATACTGCTAGGAAGAATTTGAAAACTTAAGCACTTTTGCAAGCTCAATTCCTCAAGCTTACATAAATACTCAATTGAAGAGGGGATTTTGTGTATACTTGTTTCGTCTAAAAACAACTTCTTTACATTCCTTGAAACATCTGGAAACTTGCTGATGTTTGAGCAACCAGAAAGAATAAGATTTTCAAGAGACGCCAACTTAGAAATGTCACAAGGAATGTTCTTAAGTCTTTTGCAGTTTTTCAAATCCAAACAACAGAGTTTGGTGAGATGGCCAATTGAGGAGGGAAGTTCTTCTATTGCAGTTCCCCTCAAGTACAAGTATCTTATATATGTCGACATATCTGGAAGACTAGTGATGTTTGAGCAGCCAGAGAGATCAATAATCAAAAGAGATTTCAACCTTTGCACACTTTCTGGAAGATTCCTAAGATGTATACAGTCCTTTAGATTCAAAGTAACTAGTCGGCCGAGATTCCCAATTGATTTGGGCAGTTCTTCTATGGCAGTCTCGTTCAAATTTAAATACCTTATGTCCACTGAGATTCCCAATTGATTTGGGAAGTTCTTCTATGGCAGTCTCATTCAAATTTAAATACTTTATGTTCTCTGCAAACTCTGGACATTCCCTAAAATTGGAGCAACCAGAAAGGTTGATAGTCTTCAGAGATCTCATGTTAGTGCCAATCGGGAGATGCATAAGGCTTCTGCAGCATTTCATATTCAAATCAACAAGATTGTCTAAAAACTGAATGGATGACGACACTTCTAAAAAGTGAGGACAGTTTTCAAAATTAATTCTTTCAAGATTCTTGGCCTGTGACAGGTCTGGGAAAGTAGTCAAGTGCTCAGAGTAGCTAAGATTAATGTCTTTCAAGCTCACAAGATTCTGCAGAATTAATACAAGAAATTAATGTTTACTCAACCCACAACGTTTTTTTTTTAAAAAGGGGGTAGTAAAATGAAGCATGAAGATAGATCTTATAGCAAACCTGCACTCCTGTCCATAGTTGTTTAACGTTGCTGTATGCTAGGTTCAGTTCAACAAGTTTCTCTGCTTGAAAATTAGATGGCATAGACCTTAATGGGTATCCATCCCAGTGGAGATACCTCAACTCATCAGAAAGAAACTCAAGGCCATGATGGCCATGATGAAGGTGCAATTTCTTGTTCATTTCCAATTACTAGCATTGTAAATTTTAAGCAGCTAAGATTATCCATGTTTCGCAAAAGCTCCGGAAACATATAGTTCACTTCTCCCTATTGTTTTTGATGCATCCAAAAAATATCCCTTCCCACATTTTCCAGTTCCCTAGATATCACATCAACGAAATAAATAGTGGCATAAGTTACGTAAATATATAAAGTTTCCAACTTAACTTTCCGTATATGTGTGTGTGTGTGTGGTTTGTGTGTATGAAGGACACATAGTACACACCCAGAAGGATATATCACATCATGCATATGGCTCTCCACCAGATTTTTGGTTCAACACTGAACGAATATCAAATAGGATTCCAACAAGTCTAATGCGCTTGCCCAGCTTAGCAACGAGAGTCTCCTGCCCGCAACAAATTCATGAGCCATTTCAAGCAACAAAGTCCAGATCCCTAGTTTGTTTTCAAGGACATAATGAGGCATCTATCAACTAGAACCAACTGATTCCATATCAGCTGAGAAACCACAACCATCAAGGATTAATTTAACGAAATCAATTTGGTGCCCCTTAGAAAAGCAAGCAATATCAAGAAATACACTTTTCTCTTCATCATCTAGCGTATCAAAGCTTATTCTTAATACATTACAGATTTGAGAATGTGGACCTCTTCCAAGTTTATTCAGTGCACTTTCCCAATCTCGTTTCCTTCTGTCAAATAGATATGAACGAACCCAAAACTTTAAGCGCCAATGGGTTTCCCTGAGCATAATTCACTACCTTATTTGATAAGTCTAACCTATCTTTCGGGGGATAGTTTTTCTTAAAAGCATACAAACTGAACAATTGAAGAGCTTCATCATCATTTAATCCCTCAACTTCATATACGTCATCAACTATATTCTTAAGAAGCTGCCTATCTCTAGATGTCTGCCTATCTCTAGATGTCACAATAACTCTACTTCCCAAACCAAGATTCGATCTTCTAATTAGGGCGTCTAATTGATCTACATCATCCACATCATCAAGAAGAAGAAAAACCTTTGTGCATTGGAGCCTGTCCTCATTGGAAATGGACCCCATGTTGGGACTTAGAGTATGTAGATTTTCTTCCTCTAATGTTTCAAATAATAGTTTTTGTTTTAAAAAATCTAGCCCACATCTTTTTGACTCTTCCTTAATATTTTTGAGAAAGCAGCAACCTTCATATTCACTTGAAGCGCTATAGAAAATTGCTTCAGCAATAGTCGTCTTACCTATCCCACCCATACCCCAAATTCCAACAATCGGAACATCTGGTGACCCAAAGCACAACAACTTTCTAATTTGTTCAATGTGAGAGTCTATCCCAACCAGGCCTTTTGAATCTCTAAAGGATGCATGATTCAACTTCCTCAAAATATGTTTCATAATATCATTCACAAGCTTGGCCTCAGGTCTCAATATCATTCACAAGCTTGGCCTCAGGTCTGCAAAATATGAAGAACAAGTAGTAGTGACATGTGAGAAGGAAACAAAGGAATTGATAAGAGTTTTGTCAAATCATCATTTTCTTTTTGATTACTGTCTGCAACAATGGAAGGAAGCCCACAAGAAGTTAGATTAACACAAATGATCTAATTTTTCTTCCATAGTTAGCATTTATGCTAAGCATATAAAATTTTTACATACTAATAAAGTTTCCACTAGACATGCTAACCAGAGGAAAGAAGGCCTGCAAAGGAGTGAGAGGATTAGAGTGTAGAGCTATCATCTTGCAACCTACAAATCTCAACATGTTATTAGATAACTTGTGAAATTGGTGTGCGCTTCTTAGTTGAATATCAACTAAGAGGATGTGCATCCAGAATTTGTACAAAAACTAGAGAGCGCTACAAAATAAGTTTTTTTATTGCATTTTCAACCAAGACGAGAAAATTCACAAAGGAGAAAAAGCACAACTCTTTGTCTCAACCTTCCAACTCAGGTACGTGATTTATACTGTTTTCATCTTGTTATATATTTCAAAGATTAGAAAATATAAGCAGATTATCAATTTACACATACCTAATCACCTGAGAATCCCATCCAGATATACTAGCCGCTTTCATCAAGTCGACCCTCCACCTTGGCACTTTTTCCATTTTCTCCTTAAAGTTCTTATCAACATGAGTAAATGCATCCGCAAAACTTCCACCTTGGCACTTTTTCCATTTTCTCCTTAAAGTTCTCATCAACATGAGTAAATGCATCCGCAAAACTCCCGCTTTGTTCTTGTAAAAGAGATGGATCTATATGATAGAAAACTGGCAAAACTATCTGTCCATAAGTATCCTTGCATTCAATAATTTTGGACATTTCATCCAAGCACCATGGAGAAGATGCATAGTTTTTGGAGAAAATGATTACAGAAATCATCGATTCTTCAATCGTTCTCAAAAGGGCTGGAGTTATTTCTTCCAGAAAGGGCACGAGAGTTAATTTCTTCCCCCTCTATTGAAGGTCATTGTCTATGAACGGTCTGGTGAGAACATTATTTAGGCGATACAAACAGCATCATAGAGCATGCTAGTAAAATTATTCCAATTACGCAGTATCTCAACCTCTGATAGACTTAAGAAACACATCATACTTTGCCGTTTACCGACTTAAGCGGAAGTATTACGATGCGCAATCTTATTATATGGGTAGTTATACAAAATATTTATATGCGGCTACTGTTTTCCTGGAGAAATCAAATCGAGAAATAACATTACTGACAAGTGTTTGTGCCACAGAAATATAATCGAATCCAATAAAAGGACTACTACAACTCTCAACGCACATCAAAACATTAAAAAGCTTTAAAAATCTTGTCTAATGGGCAAACTCAGAAAACAAAAAAGGAATAAATAGAAAGAACAGATGTAAATGGTATATCTCATGCCTTTTTAAACGCTCAAAACTCCGACTTTAGCGTATATTTAACCTTTATTAACATAAAAAAAAAAAAAAAGCAAAAAAACACAAAGCCTATATTTCTGGAATATCCACCAGAAAGGAAAGGAAGAGGCTTCAAACAGGATTGATTATCCAGACTCAACTGTTGTTCGGGAGAATAGATCAGATAAATTGGTAAAACAATCAGAGAGATTAAGGAAACCTAATTTAACATATTCATAGAAAGACAAGAAAGCCAAATTGAACATGGAAATTCCTACAGGAAATAGAGTTTTGATGCTCTTACTCTGTTATAGATCTTAATTAAGGGAGAGGAAATATCATCCATGAATCCATTGCCTTTGGATTCATCTATCTGTTTTAAAACTGTAACAGAGAGACTCAACAGGTTATTGACTAAAAGACTCAAGGTCCTTGCCTAGCTTGCCTTTCATGGAAATTTTACAGGAAATTTTTTTTCTTTCCTTCTGAAGTGTAAAAAAAAAAAAAATTAAAGAAAAGAAAAGGCAAAAAAATAGACTTTTATGATTAGTTAGATAAAGTTAAGAAATTCGTGTCATAAAATATTGAAATTTAGATTAAATATTGTTTTGGTAATTCAGCAAATTTTAAAAAAATGACTGTTTACAAAATATATTAAAAATATTACATAAAATATTAATAAGTAAAATCTAATAAAGTTAATGAAAAATAAATAAATCATGTTGATTAATCTAAATTGTTTTGTAATTCAGCAATTTAAAAAAAAATGACTTTTACAAAATATATTAAAAATATTACAAAATATTAATAAGTAAAATCTAATAAAGTATGAAAAATAAATACAACATTTGATAATCTAAAAAAAAAGTTAAATATCTCATCATTTATATTTAAAATTCTATACTTATCATTTAAATTTAAGTTTTATTATTTAATTAAATTACAGAGAATTTTACAGATTATAATTTGATTTTAAAAACTAGTTTCACGTATTATTCATGTTTATTTCTATTTTTTCTCTTCCTCCTTTTGGTTCTCTTCTCCCAGTCTACAATATCACTCTGCAACTATTAGTTTAATATTCATAAATTAATATGTAATTTCATTGAAAAAATTAATCAAGTTATGTATATAAATAACAACTTAAATGAGAAGGGAGTTGCTAGAAACCCTAGCTGTCTTTCTCCGACTCTCTCTTTCTTGTGTTTTTTTAGATTTTATTTCTAAACCACCGCCGATCGTCTTTTTTGTCGGCGGTGGTTTCTTTTCATTATTCTCTATCGTTTTTCTTTATTTTCTTTATTTTGTTTAGTTTCTTTCCAATAATTTTCAAATATATAATCGTTTAGAATAAAATTAAGATTTAGTCTCTCAGATCTGTATACTTTAAGTGTTTTTGCTACCTTCTTAATGGGGTTATTAATTTCTTTCATTCATGAGGTTATTTCTCATTATTGAAGAGTTTTTATGTTGATATTTTATTTCCCAAGTAGTTTGAAAGATAAGATGGATTGTTGGTTGCTTATGGTTGGAGAATTCAGATCTTTAAGTTTGGGTAAGTTTCTTTTAGCAATGGAGTCTAATAGTGTGGCATGTTCCTCTATTACAGTTTGGTATATTAAACTCTTCTACGAGCGTCAGTTATAACAAGTTTTTGAAAAAACAATATTCGAGATAATATTGTGAAAAGTTTCTTTTGTCATCCTATTTAAAAATGGACCAATTTTTACCTGGAAGATTAACCTCTTCTGCCAAGATCAATAACATTTCAAGCAGAAGATTTCAATTTTCTATATTTGTATTTCTTGTGGTTGAAGAATTCAGATCTTCAAGTTCTGGTAAGTTTCTTTTACCAATGGAGCTTGATAGTGCGGCCTGTTCCTCTATTACAGTTTGATATATTAAACTCTTCTACGAGCGTCAGTTAAAACAAATTTTTGAAAAAACAATATTCGAGACAATATTGTGGAAGGTTTCTTTTGCTGTTCTATTTAAAAATGGATCAGTTTTTACCAGGAGGATTAACATCTTTCGCCAAGATCAAGAACATCACCAAAATAGAGGATTTCAATTTTCTATATTTGTATTTCTTATGGTTGGAGAATTCAGATCTTCAAG